TTATTATTTTTAATAATTTTTTTATATTTTAATATTTATTTTTTGATTTTATATTTTCTGTTTTCATTTTAAATTTAGTTCAAGTTTTAGTAATTTTTTTTGTTTTTTAAACTATTTTTTATCATTTTCGTATTTTTTATATGTCTAGTATTTAATAATTTTTATTTCAGTTTTAGTTATTTCAGTACATCACGTTACACTAAATGAAAATGAGAAACGTTGCATTGACTGTAGTTTTTATTAATAATTTTAATTAGTCTTTCATTTTTATATTTGCTGTTTTCATTTTAATTTTAGTTAACGTTTTAGTAATTTAGTTTTTTTTCTAATTTTTATGAATTTTTGTTTTTTATATGTATATGTATATATTTTTTATTGATTTTTATTTCAGTTTTAGTTATTTCAGTACATCACGTTACACTAAATGAAAATGAGAAATGTTGCACTGACTGTAGTTTTTATTAATAATGTTAATTCGTTTTTAATTTTTATATTTTCTGTTTTCAATTTTAATGTTTTAGTAATTTAGTTTTTTGTCTTTTTTTTATAGTTTTTGTTTTTATATGAATATATAATTTAAAAAATATTTCTGTTTTAGTTTGTTATTTTAGTAGATCAAGTTAAACTAAATGAAAATGAGAAATGTTGCCTTGGCAACTAGCTCTAATAAAATAAGTTTTATGTATATTTTATTTTATTTCAGTTAATGTTTAGTTTAAACTAACTAAACCAAACCAAATAAATGTGTTTGTGGTTTAAGTTTGCTCTAATAACCCTGATGTTGCTTCAGAGTCACAAAGATGGTCGAGTGACGATTAAAAATGCTATATGTGTAAAAAAATCTAAATGTAACATTCATGAAAATAGTCATTTTATTTAGTTTTTAAATAGCATGCACTAATGAATAATTCACAATAAAACCAGAAACATTTATTAAGCAAATAAATAGTCAGTTTTTAAATTCTCCTTTAAATTGAAATAAATGTGTCTGTATTGTTAGTGATATCAGATGATGTTTTTCTCAGGCTCCGTCAGTGAGGTCTGAACATCCAGCGGTCTCGCCGTTTAAAGATGGATACGCCAGTGGTGAGAGGTTTATAATTACTACAAATATACATGTTTGTTTTGTGTTATAAGTCGTAAACACTAATGTTTAAAAATTTAGGGTCAGTACATTTTTTTATATTTTTTGCTTTTTTGCTCTCCAAGGCTGCATTTATTTAATCAAAAATATAGTAAAAATAGTGAAATATTATTATGATGTAATATAGCTGTTTTCTATGTGAATATCTGTTAAAATGTAATTTATTTCTGTGATGCAAAGCTGTATTTTCAGCATCATTACTCCAGTCTTCAGTGTCACATGATCTTCAGAAATCATAATAATATGCTAATTTATTATCAGAGCTGGAAACTGTTACTTTTTTGGAAATTGTGATACTTTTTTTCAGGATTCTTTGATGAATGAAAAGTTAAAAAGAAGAGCGTTTATTTAAAATAGAAATCTTTTCTAACAATATACACTACCGTTCAAAAGTTTGGGGTCAGTACATTTTTATTCTTTCGTTTTTTGAAAGAAATTATAACTTTTATTCAGCAAGGACGTGTTAAATTGCTAAGAAGTGATATATATTGTTAGAAAAGATTTATATTTTGAATAAATGCTGTTCTTTTTAACTTTTTATTCATCAAAGAATCCTGAAAAAAGTATCACAGTTTGATAATTGATAATTCACACTGTTGATAATTCTAATAATAAATTAGTATATTAGAATGATTTCTGAAGATCATGTGACACTTTATACTGGAGTAATGATGCTGAAAATACAGCTGCGCATCACAGAAATAAATTATATTTTAAAGGATATTAAAATAGAAACCATTATTTTATATTGTAATAACATTTTGCAAGATTGCTGTTTTTTTCTGTATTTTTGATCAAATAAATGCAGCCTTGATGAGCAGAAGACACTTCTTTAAAAACATTACAAGTCTTACTGATCCCAAACTTTTGAGCGGCAGTGAAAGTAACTACTGCAGAAGACATCAGTCCTGATTGGATATCTTCCCAAATCATCGTTTCGTCTTGTTTTTATTCGCTGACGAAAACGAGAGTGTATTTCAGTTTTAGTTTTTGTCATTAAAAACCGGTTTTTATTTAGTAGTCGTCTCGTTTTTGTTGGTGAGAAAATGTCGTTGACGAAAATGGACTTCGTCACTGAAATTAACAGATCACAAATGTCTTTACTGGCACTTTTGATCAATTGAACGTGATCGTCCTTGATGAATAAAAGCATTGATTTCTCGTGTGTGTGTGTGTGTGTGTGTGTCTCACAGACAGGTTCAGAGGCGAGAGTCACCTGCAGCAGGAGAAGCGCAGCACACCTGAAGGCGCGCGCCGAGACGCGGAGCCAGACCTGGACTTCGTCACTGAAATTAACAGATCACAAATGTCTTTACTGGCACTTTTGATCAATTGAACGTGATCGTCCTTGATGAATAAAAGCATTGATTTCTCGTGTGTGTGTGTGTGTGTGTGTGTCGCAGACAGCGGTTCAGACGGGAGTCACCTGCAGCAGGAGAAGCGCAGCACACCTGAAGGAGCGCGCCGAGACGCGGAGCCAGACCTTCTGCCCGACAGGATCAAGGTGAGTTTGTTGGAGAACATCTGACTGCATAAAGAAGACCGCGAGCGGATGAGGAGCTCAGGGAGCAGGGATGGTTCTGGCCATTTCTCATTTGTGACCCTGGAGCACAAAACCTGTCATAAGGGTCAATCTGAAAGCTGAATAAATAAGCTTTCCATTGATGTATGGTTTGTTAGGATCGGACAATATTTGGCTGAGATACAACTATTTGAAAATCTGGAATCTGATGGTGCAAAAAAATCTAAATATTGAGAAAATCATCTTTAAAGTTGTCCAGATGAAGTTCTTAGCAATGCATATTACTAATCAAACATTAAGTTTTGAGATATTTACAGTAGGAAATTTACAGTAGGGATGCATAATGAAAATATCTGAAGACTGTTATGAAAAGGAATGTTAAAAAATATTTACATAGACAGAAAACCTGTCTATGAACACATGATTAGAACACTGTTAGATTATGATTATGATGCAGCAATGCTATTAAAAAAGAAGCATCTAAAAAGGAATAGCTGCCTGAGGTGAAGCTGACTTTATCAATAAACTGAAGCCCTAACTCATCCTATGATATTAATCACATAACTTAGATACATAACATTACAACTCGTATCTGCACAAAAGCATGCAAATGCCAGTGAACTTTAAGTTACGCGCTATAGCGAGCGAGCGAGAGAGCGAGAATTTACTATAGATTTCTATAAAGTTCTCATCATAATGCTGTGTTTATGGCAGGTTTGTGCTATATTTTCATCTACATTATCAAGTGATTCCTGAGATCACCTGTGCGTTTTCAAAGCCATATGAAGTACGGAAACTATTTTAATTGAAGTATGCCTGCTGTTGAGCAAATATGACGAAAAAAGCACTGCTGTGTTATTATAACATCAGTATTTAAAAAAAAAAAAATACACATCTAAAAGCAGGGATGCACGATATTATCGGATCGATATCGGAATCAGCTGATGAAAGTAAAATACACGAATAACATTTAGACTGTGTTTCTGAATAAATAAAGCAGTCATGTTTTGATTTAAAGGTCAGAAGCTATAGCTCACATGAATAAAAAAAAAAATCACAAAATGACACTTGTAAATTAAATAATTGTATATATACTGATTTATTAATTAATGTGTAATATGTTATATTTTTGAAACAAATTATGAGCTCTAAAATATTTTCTAAAACTCTTTTGCTTTAGACCATCTACAAATGTTAAATCATAAAATAAAATGTTAAGGTTACTACTGCATCTTTCTGAAAAAAAAAAATGCAGCGATTGATATATAGTTTATTTATAGAACTTCATTATTTATTTAACTCCGGTGTTGGGAAGGTTACTTTGGAAATGTAATAGGTTACAGATTACAAGTTACCCTATTTAAAATGTAATAGTAGTGAAACTTTTTCAATTACTTTATTAAAGTAATGTAACTGATTACTTTTGATTACTTTTCTAAATTTCTAATGAATGTTTATTTGCAACTGTTAATCATTTTCAAACATTTACACCATGCAGGGTTAACCTTACAGTAGTGCTCAACACTGTCAGACTTTCAAAATCCTTCATCACTTGAATTAACATTTGAACACATCCACCACAAAATCTGACTTTAGTACTGCCTTTTACTTTGAGATTGATCTGAAGTTCAATGCAGATTTAAAATCATAAGAAATAGTTAAGATAAGAAATAGTTAATAGATAAGAAATCTTTGCATAACTACAGGAAACACTGCATCTAACAATGGTTTGGAAAAAAATAGTTAATTAAAAAATAATAATAAATAAAAGCATATACATCAGCTCAATACGGTTATCTAATAAGCATGTGTCCTATTATGTGCACTAAACTCCTGAAACTTTGGTGTCTTTTTGAAACATTGGTGTCTCTTTGTATATGATATGACGATAGTTTTCTCAAAATAAGTAAAATGCTCATGAAGTGACTCAGAGCAGTTCTAGAGATTATGTTTATGTGTTCATGTACTCATATATTGAGGCGGCAGAGGCTGAAAACACCATGAGCTTCAGTAGGCCTATGTGTAGTAAATGAAACCGCATGTCTGCACCATTAATTTCCACGAGGGGC